ACATTTTGAAAGTAGCGCAGCCTCAAAAATCGCCTTCCGGATCGTCCGACACATTTGAGAGGTCATAGCCTTATTTTATCGCGGAATGTGCCTTTAATTTTCGTGGACCGCTCGATTAGGCGCTAGTGGCGTGTGTAGCAGCACCGCACTACTGGACAATAACGTTCACAAAGTTGCCTAAATTACATAATGCAGTGGTTCAATTGCATTGCTAAACAAATTGCATAACGCATTAACGTAAAGAATAAATCAGCGCGGAATCACTTACTGTTAGGATCTTTCGCGAGGATGAGCATGTACGTTTCAGCAGTATATTCGTCCAGAGAAGGTCTATACGAATTACTAAAATTCCCAAACGGAGTAGTCCAACAGATCAGCCTTAAAAAGACCTGCAGAATACGTGGGTTTTCACAGTTCAGTTTTATTCTAGTGGGGCAATGTAAACCATAAATCCTGACAGGTATCATAGAAGGAGAAGTTTGGCTCTTCCCGTTTCCAAATAAGGGAGAAGCTCGGCAAATCAACTAAAGTGGGGTGTTTTCTGGGCGCATACGGAATGTTCTACAAAAAAGCAGAATTATACAAGTGTCAAAGATTCCAACATGCGACCTCGCGCCTTTTAAGCAATGCGCTGATCCACTACATATACTATGGGCCTCTCTGCAGCTTGTTATCCTTCTGAACTTGTGCGAACCCAGAAGCGGACGAATGGGTATCATAGTGAGATGCAAATGTCTGTAGCTCCCTTCAGAGGATCGCTCCGTAATTTCCGAATGCAAATAGAGCATGGAAAGTGCAAATACAGTCCTAATTATTGCGGACTGTCGACGATTTGAGTCCGCGTTCGGCTCCCTTGCTCTACAAGTGGCAATCGGGAAAAGATCGATCCAGGAAGGAAACAACCGATGATGGAAACGTCGCAGAAGACCGCTGATTGCGACCAGACAGACTGCGGTGATATTAAGTGTAGCTGGATTGACTTGTTGGGGATTCCTCGGTAGTAGTAGCCTGTAAAACTGACGCTGCACTGCTCGCTTTCGAAAGGGAAGTAAATCTGAAGCTGGGAACCCATTCATCTCATGTGCAAGTCACTATCCGTCGACACACTTCAAGTTGATGTTCCTATTTAAGGCATTTATGTGCTTTATGAAGTTATGAGCTTTATGTGCCTAACTCTTGCCATTTTAGTTTCGGAAAGCATTGGGCTCTAGCTACGACGCCTTCTGCTGCACTAACTGTTGAGGAATGGCTGGGCTGTGAGCGATCTGTGAGTCTCAGTGATTAAGCTAATTTGCACTTCTGAAGGTAGCACTCGCAACAGAAAGAGATAAAGTTCGATTCAATACCGTGGAGGACTAGGATTTGCCGTCCAACAAGCCCTTTCTGGGATACGGCTCGCATCCACTTCTTTTTGCAATCACTTGACCTCTTAATTCCATATGACCTGCACAACGACCTACAGGGGCCACCCGATGTAAAGGCAGATTTGGTAACAAAAGCCGCCCAAAAGGCGTAGAAGCGGGAGTCTAGACCGGCGACAGGGTAGCAGAGTGAGCCGAGACCAGCGAAAGGTAGAAAGCGGAGCAGAGCCCAACGAAACTCGGATTCATTCAACCCAGGACCCCGCCTGTGATGAGTGATGCCTTTTGCGACTACATCATCTCATTCTTGGAGCCCTACTTATGAAGCGCATGTTTAAAGTAAGTTTTATTTATTTATTTATCTTACTTAATAACTTATTTATAAATGGACGCAGGTATGAGACCGCGTGACAAAGCAAAACCACAACAATGATTAGCATACCAAAGCACATCGAAACAGAAGTAAGAATCAGTAAGCATAAGAAGGCAAAAGACAAAATTGTAAGGAAAAAATGATGAGGTAATGAAATAGCGCAAGAGAAATATCACACCAAGCAAACCCCCAAATCCTCAAGGTTCAGCAATTTTTTGGCAACATGCTTGGAGGAATTAAAGGCAGCGCTCGCGTTCATTTGGTGTTCGTTTCATTTGGTGTTCCCTCTCTGGATGTCATGAAAATGCAATGTCCACTGCAATGTCATCAAACCATTTCTGACCCAACCGCGGACTATTTTTGATGAGTGTCATTGAAACCCGATCATATAAGCGCATTTATAAGAAAAATGTGGGCACTGTTGAACTAATCCTATCTCAGTCTGCCTAATTCGCTGGTTTTTTACCGATCCTAGTGCATAAGCCACTGACCGCTGACGCGTCGCAAAGACAGCTTGTAATTTGTTAATAACATCGAAAGGTGGCAATTGCGATAAGGCCGCTTTCAAATATTACGGCACAAATGACGAAAACATAAAAAAAAGTATCGGTTAGAAAACTGGGAGAAATGCAACTGCAGAAATACAAAATAAAGAAGTGACAGGGATCAATCACCTACCCGGAATTGGGAGAATGCAGAATCTGCAAGTTCGCAGAATTGGCACAAATGCAGAAATGCGGAATTTTCGTATAAAAGAAAACGTGGTCCGCAAATGAGAAAAAAGCCTCAGAAATTACACAGAAGAAAGAATAAAAACGAAGGCAAAACATATGTTTTGCGTCCGCTGCGCGCTGTGGTCGCGTGCTGGCATGGAGCCAGCGTGCGGAAAACTCGTCCGACTACCTGATCGCTTCGCCTTGAGCACTTGCAACCTCAGCTCATTGTGGGGTCCTATATAGGACATATCCTACGGGTTTTTTTTTGTCACGAATGAACTACTTGCTACCTTGTTGTCACTGCCTGAGCTCCAAAAATTATCAAATTGAACGGGGGCGCTGCCTTTAAGAGAGAAATGCTTGACGTCACGACGAAGAAGTTTGTTGAGAGAAGATACACAATACCCTTACGGAAAAGAATTTGGAGCAGGATCTGGGTTTTCACCAGCGGAATCTTGATTTTAGTATCATGGCCTCCTCGCTCTAGAAAGTTTACGAGTGAAGAAAGATTCGGAACTGACAGGCAGCCTTAGCCAGTAAGGATTTTGAATGCCATAACGAGGTCATTTACCTTTCTACGGGCATGCAGACTGGGAAGCGAGTATAAACGACGACGTTCCTGCCCTTAGGAATAAATTCATAGGACAAACCAGAGCAGCGCATGGCAAGCTTACGTGTGAAGCTGTTTTGGACACTTTCTAGTGAGCATATATCTTTTTTCTTGAATGATGAGAAAACAGCAGTGTCCGATACATGACTGGTGGTTTGCAGTTCCAGAGAGCCTAGTTTATATTTTATCGCTACAGCACTGCTGCTTTTTCCAATGCAAAAACTTTCGTTCTGACGTGAGATAGGCGCAAACCCGACCTAATGGACCAAGAGCTCACACAGCTTGGAGGGCATAACTATCCTCAGAGCTCTCAACTTTCTTGTATATCTTGACATCATCAGCGTACATCAAGCAAGTAACACCATTTCCAGAAATTATACTAGGTAGCTCACAAGGAAATAAAGAAAACAACAGTGAATAAAACGTCACCTTTAGGAACACCACTGGTCACACGGTCAAAAGTCTGAGCAAGCCAAAGTAAACCACATGAGTAGGCTTCTTCTGGTCTAAGGCCCTAGCCCAGTCATTGAGGGAAGTAAGAAGAGCAGTCTAAAGTGATCGTCCCTTACAGAAACCATGTTTACAAGGAGAAACGACGTTGTGCTCGTCAAGATGAGCTGTAAGCCGACGTTTCAAAATTTTTTCGAAAGCTCTAGCCGACAATGGAGGTAATGTTAATGGGGCGGTAATTCTCACAGCGATTGTAGGGGTTTTTTAGAAACCGGCATGACTAAAGAGTGCTTCCAACGATCTGGTACCTCTGCCCTCAAATAAGACAAATTGAAGAGGTGCTCGAAGGGGATAGAGTAGATGGCTGAGTACCATTTTGATGAACACAAAAGGGATGCCAGGGTAACAAAAGGAGAGGTGGGCCAAGCAGAATGATTTCGAATATCTCCTTACGATGGAACCAAACTGTTGGTCGTATGGTAGGACAACGTGGCGTGAGCTCTTCCAAGAACTTGTTCATGATAGTTTGAAAACGCTAGTTGAAACCTCTCGGCCAATAGCTCAGCTTTATCTTTATCACTGATCGCGAGGTGGGACTCATCAACTACCAGCGCAGGTAACTTGTTCCTAGCTTTTAATCGTGAATTTATATAATTATAGAGTTTGGAGGGAACCTTTGAAGCGATTATTTTATTCTCAACGCTTGCATAGTATTTCGCAAGAGCCTTATTAAGCTTTCGAGTAAACAATTTGTGAGAAGTCCAGTAAGATTCCGAGTTTTCTTTGACCACCAAATCCCAGAGATCACTGCAAAGAGTCTATGATCCAAATGCGCATTAAGGGACATGTACTCCTGCTTGCTACGAAGTGGGACAAACTTATTGTCGACATAGATCCCACTCAGATTCCACTTTTTTACTTTACTTTTAGTACAAGGTTATAAGGTCATGAGCAAAATGTTTTGCCTTTGCCCTCATGGCCTCTTTTCGGGAAGTAATGGAAAGAACATACCTGTAAACACGAGATTCGTGGGCTTGAACCCCAGCGGGGCGGAACGCCTTTGTCCATTACTCAGCAGCCCCGCTATAATAATCGCATCATGCAAAACAATAAAAGGCAAACTAAGCGATGGGTTCAGCCATTGAATAGTGTGCCTCCCCTATGAGAGCGCGAAATCTTTACAAGACACTAAGGGAAGGGCGCTCCAGTCAGAATAATAGTGTGATTGAGTGTACCCGCCCGTCTTTGCCACCAACCAGCGTAGAATTTACACTTCATCAAGTTACGGGTCGAGTAGCATAAGGTCTGATTGAGGGCTGATTGCCGAGAAGGATACTTTGTTGGTGAGCATAGACCGTGAGGTGACACTTATAACAAAATTTGAACAAGAGAGGCAAAATCGGCGCAGGTGGGCTTTGTGTGGGCATCATGTGGTACCCAGCGAAGTCTCTACAGATCACCGTGTGAAGAACGTTGAAATCTTGTAACAAATGGGTTCACTTGAACCATTTTGCAGCTTCACAATACTTTGGAGGTGAAAATTTTCAGTTAAAATAATCAATATTAATATAAAAGGAGCAAGCAGAAGTAAAACGCCCATAACCCGAACAGCACCGGAACATTATGTTTGTGTTCTATACAATATCGAGAACTGTAGCAATTAATTACACGAAAGGATAATTTTCTCCGGCTTTTCAGATACTATACTCCGAGTACAATACTTGACTACTATTCGGCTCTGACAGAAGTTTTCTTCGAAGGGCGGCTGTTTCATGAAATTGCAATGAAAAAGTTCTTTCTCACTGTGCCAACTAAACAGTGAGTTTAACTGTATATATGAAATGTCGAAGGGCACAGCTAGGAGCCCCTAAGTGAATGTTACCGTGGTGCGGGACGAGAAATCCACGTAGCAGGTTGAAAAAATGAAACGACATCGAACCGGGTACTTGGATTTTGAATATTTGCGCGCATCCAGAATTTGCACTACTTTCTGCCATTGCACTGAAGAAAGCTATTTCGCCATCCTTGCAAAACGGGCCAGGAATTTCAGAAGTACGCTTTCTCGAATCTATGAATTCTTGAAACTGGATTATATGGTGTATAATAGGTGTAATGTAGGTGTTAATTATGTTGTGGTAAAAAAGGGAGTGCTTATCTGGGGGCGGGGCATTATTAGGGTCTAGTATGCATGCCGCGGGCATTTCGCGCAGAATTGTAAAACAAATTACTTCGCGGGAGGTGGTCTTGAGAGGCTTCCCCATGCAAGCAGATGTGCTCCTCTGGTTGGGGACTGTTTGAGCGTATACTGTGTTCGTTTGTTTATTTGATTTATGACTCCGGTGTAATAAACCAGGGTACTTTTAATCAACGTCCGTCCCTTGCTTCTCAGCTTGCAGCTTGCCTCTGCCTTTAATTTTTTTCGAAGGACTGAACTATAACTATTCGCATCGGCTCAAAACGTTCGAGGCGGTGTGTACTCCCGAGACAACGAATAATTCCTCTTTGTTCAATCCTATTTCCCGGGATACAGGCTTCACTTCAGTTGTTTTGTAGTTTTTTTTCTTCTTCACTAACAACTAGATATAAATTTGTATTTGGATGACCTTTTTTTGGAAGGAAAAATGCAAAACAAAAAGTGTCAAAAGAGACGCCAAGAGACGGTTTAGCCAAAAACAACAACGGGGGTTGAGCTTTGTCGTCCGCCCCGAACACGATGAACGGAAAACGGGAGTTTTTGAGAAAAAAATCAACATGGCCTCCTAGGAACCACCTCCTGGTCCCTGCCACCTGCGAAGTGAATGGGTCAGAGGTTAGCGTGCCACTTTCCACTCAATGTGCACGAGGATGGGGCTGGATGGTGGTGGTACCCGAGTGCCGCTTTGCTTTGCCAGCACTACCTTCAAGGTACAACATTTACAGCTATATCAGAAACTCGCAAATGCACAAAATACTAGGGAACAACTAGAAGTGAGTGCAGACAAATAGCGTGCTTAGCCAAGGTCAGACGCTCGGTTGACCGTGCGGCAGCGCGAGCGTAGTATGATGGCGGCATCGATACCTTCTACTCCTGTTTCCCTCCACTTTCGCCGAAACCGGTACGCAACTGCGGCTGCTCAGCGCGCTCATGATCAGCTACACTCTCTTTTGCTCTCCTCCTTCACATTCCTCTAAAAGAACTTCAGCCTTCAATAACATAATTTCGGTTATTCCCCCTCTCAGAATCTTACTTACTCTTCTTAACTTATCCGCTGCTTTTTCCATCTCATCATTCTTCTCGCCCGCATTCCTATACGCCTTCTCTCGCCATCTCGTTTCATCAAGCGCTGAGGTGAAGACGACACGTGTAAGCTGATCAACATCTCGTCACCAACAGCTACTTTCGCAGTTTCCCCAGCAGCCCCAAAACGACTATGGCTGAACGACAAGGACCACAGTACTTTCTTTTTACCGTAGTCTTTCGTGATATACTTTGTAATAGAAAATCTTCCCCCTTTTGTATTACTGTAATTTATACTGGTAATTGTGATAGTAACTATAACAATGCAGCTAATTAGTGATTATGTAATTTCGTAATTTAGGTCTTTCGCTGTATTTCTAATTTTATGGTACTTTTACTTAATATTGTATCTTGAATGTTACTAGTTGAACTAAGGAAACAATCGCAAAATTGAATACCCATTAAAACAAAACAAGTACGAACACCCTCCCTTCGAACTAAGTGGCGGGGAGGATGCAAACTACAGTTACTAGCGTTTACATGAACTTCTTCGTGGTGCGGAGTGTTATAACCCTCAGGTCATGATAATAAGGAGACACACTTATTACTCCTTCTTCAAAAGATTACTGGCACGTTAATTCACTGAATCAATCAATACAAGATTCGAGCAGCGGAGCCTCGCAGCCCCATAGCGAGCGGCATCCAGCCAATAGGCGAAGCCACCTGTGCCGCCCACTTTTTGGGGTACAAATACCGCGCTCCGGCAGTTCGAGGCAGTCTTCGCTCGGTTCGCTCAACCCAACTGGTCGCCTCTCCAACAAGCGACTTCAGTCGTAACCTAAGACAAGTAACGCAAATAACCTAAGGGACGCCACTTCGCAACTAGCCCAAGAACTCAACAACGCATGGCAAGGGACAAGGCACTCCAGCGGACTCGCCACTTAATCGATACACACGACACTAACACTGTGGTTTCATAAACACACCCAATACACAACACTGCAATCTATCATGAACTCGCCGTTTCACACGTCGGTTGATGTACAGGGGGGGGGGGCAAAAAAGTCACTTCGACCGAGTCACATATCAGCAAAGTTTTCGCAGCCCAGACAGAGGACGTGGATACGAGTACCAGGGCGGAAGATACCCAAGATGTTCCTCGATAAGCAGGAGCTGGCTCTCGCCCATCACCTTCATGTACACCAAAATATGAAGTCATCTCCAGTCGCAGCCTGACTTTGGAATTCATGTCACCTCCAAACAGCTGCGAAACTTCTAGTATGGAGTCACCCATGGATAGCTACCTGGAGACCAGTACTCTCGATCTGGAAGACCTCCAACATCGAGCAGCTCCGACAACGTCGCTACGGTCCAGGACATCATCTTCACCCCATTCACCAAGGCGCGGGTTGATGGTGTGGACCGGCCGTACCTGGAATGGAAGACCGATATTTTCTTCGTGGACCCCGAACTGAAGGTGGCGGTTACACCGAGAAAAGAATCTCGAAAGAATATCCTCCTCACATGTTGTCGCCCGTACCTTCTTGGAAACGTTTGTACTGCTACAGGATTTGGTGACACCACATGGAATCGAAAGGCGTTGGAAAAACTCTCGCCTACTTGGAATGGAAAGGCGCTGAGTACCGGAATATCCAAATATGTCCCCTGACCTAAACTACCTCAATTACTGGGTTCGGGCGAAGCTTAACAGGGTGGTCCAGTGGCCGACCAATCAACTATCTCGCTGAACTCAGGCACCAAATCACGGTCGCGTAGCAGAATCTCTCGATGGCGCTCCTCCAGAAGGCTGTGGCAAAGCATCATGATAGTATTCAAAGTGCTGTTGAAAATGGTGGTAGAATCGTCCGCTCAGAGTCTGATAAAATGTAACTTATACCTTCTCGAAAGTCAAGGAAGAAAAGTGACTTTTTGCTTCCCTGTACGCTAATGACACCTGGATTGAGACAGTATCCGCTGTACATTTCCACGGTGTTCACTTGACTTGTCACTCATAGCTAGGAAAGTTATAGTGTGCTTTTCATGAGCGGAGTGTCTTTTCAGTTGCTTCTCCCCCCCCCTCTCCCCTGCGAAGTTTCGCCTATTGTGAAGCTAACAGCTCGAGCCAGCACGTTACCTGATACATAAATTTTATTAATTCATTTCATGCTTCCAGAATACATTCTCACATTTCAGCTCAAGTCCTGATCGGTTCGATCACTTGTACGGCAAAGGTGGACGTGGTGCTTGGCATGATAACTACAATGCGAATCTTTTCATGATCCATCCAATCAAACTCAGTTTCCTCTCTAATCGTAGAATGCGAAAGCAGTAGGTTGATGTTTTTCTGTATCAGACTACATTTTCCTTGGTGCAAAGCGACAAAATTTGTTAATGCAACTTGACTTCATCTATTTATTTCATTAATTTGATCTTTTCGTTTTCCTTGCTCGCTCAACGCGAAAACGGTAGGTTGATGCTTTCTTATCAAACTAGCTTACCCTTGTTGTTCGGCGACAATATTTCAAACACCTTACTATAATATGTATAAATGATACTTAGTTTTAGTTATGCATTTATTTTATTTATTTGCTCCCTAATATACACTCGGAGATACGCCATCGTGGAACTAAGTAGCAAAAGAAATTCAGGCGCTGTTTGGCGACGGTGGGGAGGGGGGCATTTTGCACTTTAACGACTTCCCATCGACGTGTCGACCCATCTAGACAGCCTCTTCTCGAGTTGACAGGTTTTACCATGATGGCTTGACGAGCTTGCTCCAGCTTCACAAGAGTTCACAGGTTTCACCAGAGTGAGACTTGTAAACCAGAACTAGTAAAGCAACGAAAGTGCAAAATGTCCCCCGTCGGCAAACTGCGCTATAAATTCACTTAGCAAGCTGCGCAAATTATCTCAAGCAGGGTACGAGTGGGATACAGTTCAGTCCTTTTTTTGCGCGACCATTTCTATAAACTTAGAGTAGCACCCATACTCAACGCGAGCAACGCAGCGGGCACGCTGTAAGGCAGCAATCATACTCTGCGACTAGAGCGATTCTCACATCGCCCGGCTACGACTGACACGCCACTATCTCTAGCCACATCTGTTAACTCAATCGCATTCAGGACAGAACTCCTTGAAATGGCCCAGCAATTAGCGGTGCTGTGCGATCGGTAGTAGTCGAGCGGGCAAAGTCGCAAAGTATGAAATGACCCGAGAACCTCCCTTATGCTCATTTATGGGCTGCTACTCCCGTGTAGGCGCAGAATCAATGAATACACCACAGAAATGTGATTACTCGCAGCTTTCACGGTTCAGTATCCTAACTCCTTCCCCTCCCTCCCCCCCCCGAACAACTTGACTTTGATACCATGATGGTCCTTCAATTGGCGCGACATTCTGTTGAGACCACATGAAGCCGCTCTTCCGTGAAGCACGATTTCCGGTGACTTGCATCCAGTGTGAACTGCGTTCTCTGAAATATTTCGAAAACCAGTGAGACTAATGTGTCGATGGTCGTCCCATAAGCCGTTTCACGTTTCTTGGGAGTCATTCTGTGACGCGGGCGCTCCATTTGTCATTGTTCCGGCGGAGCACGTGACTAGCTCAGCGGTTTGTCATTGCGCGTATACTCAGCGGAACTTTTAATCGCGATCGCTCCTTCAGAACTGTACTTCGTAGGCCTTGTTGCCATTGCTGGCGGCGGCCGACCTTCAAAAGACATCTCTCCAGTGCACGATGCGTGGTTTGCATTGCCTTGATGATCGTCCTGTCGTGACCAGGTTTCGGTTGCGTCCGACACCGCAGGCAGCACCGTGGCGTCGAATATCGAGGCTCTTAGGTTAGGGTCCTTAATTTGCTCCGTTACTTCACGAATCGTTCCAAAAGCTGCCCATGCTGCACGCCTCCTGCGGCTTATTTTAGAAGAGATATTGTTCAGCATGTTTAGCCCACTTGTGAGTACACATAGGAATCCTTTTCTTCAGAGAATCTCTGCCAGTTCACTATTGCCGCTTCACACCACTGGTCCACCATCATCTTCGTTGTGAACATATTCGTTCCCTGAGCACCTTGAAACAGTTGTGGAAGCGGAAAAGCTGTTTGTAGAATTCACTAATAGATTCTTGGAAGATTTTCTAGATGTTTGCATCCTTTCATTTTTATCCATGAGTGCTGAAATGACATTTTGTTGATAGCTGAGATCTTTTCTACAGCATTTGATGCTCAGTCTTGCTCCCGCCGCCTTTAACAATCTAGTTCTCCTGGAGGCTCGAAATGATTTCCTAATGGCAAAGCGAGGTGCTTGGCATTGGGACCCAGTCTCATAGCCCTCCGTTCCCCTAACAAAGCACCGAGCGCTGGGGGGAATGTGGCTGTGGCAAACGTGAAAACTCTACGCACTTGGACAGACCTTCAACAGGATGATTGTAGTCTTCCGAATCCAGTAGATTCCAGCTATAGACATCAATGACAGCTTCTAATTGCTCGCTGTTGTACGGAAGAGCCCTCGACGCGCTTGAATATCTTCTTGAGACATACTTTAGCACGTATCAAACGGTGGTCCGAGCCATATCGAATGACGGCAACACTGATACGTTGTATAGGGTCTAGTGCCGACCAGATATGATGTGAGCGTTTGCCCATCCGGACTTTCCCAGGTCCATCGTCGTCTGAGAGGCTTCCCGAACATGGAGTTCCCATGGCAAAGGCGGCTGCAGACAAAAAATCGAGCTGCCGTTCTCCGTTCTCATTTTGACTCAGATACGTGGACCGAGTGGCCGCTGTGGCTCGTGCCTATAAAGGCAACAACATAGTTGTAGTAACTTCTCTCATTCTGAGTCGCCTTCTGCAAAAGTTGGTGAAATTCTTCAGCGTCACTCATCTGCTGCTGCAGAGGTTGGCGCATAACCATTGCTGATGGATATGGTGCCTTAATTTCTGGTCTAAATATGTAGATCAGCGATACGCGGATCAACGGTTCCGTGAGGGCCGACTGACAATGAGTAGACTACTACCGGGTTCACGAGGAAACCAATTCGCCTGTCGTCCCTTGTTATGCGATCACACCGTGAATGTTCCGACGGCTCCTCAACAGAAACGTTCGAATGCCAGCTCCCGATGCAGCGGTGCAACAGTTACACGAGCGATCCAGTCGTTGGGTGGGGGAGGTTTCAGGCTTCCGATTAATCCCAAACGTCCTGATTTCCCGATGGGATAAGATGACCCCCCTCATCGGTAGAGGCTACTTCGACGTCGCAAAAGAGCATATCCGATGTGCGCAGGACTGGAGCGTTAGCGTCCTTTGAGCAAAAGTGTTGACTTCGGCTACTCCCTTGTTCCTTGCTAGGGATACAAGGAAAGCCGCCCATACGCAGCTTACTATGCGTACTGCGTAGCCGTTTGTACCATGGGTACCATGTAGCACCTCACCCACCACCAGGTGGGTGAGGTGCTACATGGTACGGCTCGCGAACTACTACTTACTATATGTGACTACGCACACATTGATTTTACAAGTTCGATGCTTTTTTTCAGATTCTGCGACTCAGTCGTAATGGCGTTCTGGAACAACCTAATGGTCTTCAACAGCAGCGAAACCCTCTCATGAAGTGGAAGAAAGGGATCTTAGGTGCAGTTTGTCTTGAACGTTGAAAGAAGAGCGATGTGCATTTTTGCTAGTTCCTTTTGCTAGTTCATGTTAGCTAACAGTTCTCACTTTGATGGGACCTGTGAACTCTTATGAAGCTGCGAAATGGTACAAGTGCTTTATTCTTGCTGGGAACTTCCAGTTCTGCACAAGTTCGCCTGTACAAGCTCTATTGAGCACTATATGGTGTTCCCACCGAGCTGTGCCCCGATACCTATTTTAATACAGCTCATTGTTCGCCGTACATGTTTTTATTGAGTGGCTATCTCATCTTCACTCTGCTATTGTGTCTGTGATGGCAAAAGGCACAAGTACCTTTAGGGGTGCCAGCGTATCGCCTGTGAACGAGCCCTCACACTGAACTTTCCAAGTTGGCGGCACTACTAAAGATTTATACTTTACACAACTACTATTTCCGATAGTTGAAGTTCCTGACGACCTCCCCTTCCCGCCCTCTCCTTTCCCCCCCCCTCCGGTTGGACGCAAATTTCGGGGAAAGCAAAAAGTTTTTCGGGGATGTGGGAGAAGCTGGAAAAAGCTATTCTGCAGGAATTTATCGCATTGGCGTGCCTCCCTCACCCCCCCCCCCCCACCCACTCCGCAGCCCTTAGCCAACATCCCCGATTTTCAACGGTTGTGCTCAGAGAACTCAGCTCAGTATTCGTGATAATTTTTGAGCTTCAATTGTTATGTATAAAAATTGTTTTCTACTGTAAGCCTCTGTTATCTGAACTGTCTCAGGCTTCATTGGTTGTGCTTTGGTTACCCCCTATGTGAAGCTTACTCGACGCGGTGTCGTAAATCAGAAACAAGTCTGCCAATTCACTTATGTAGACAACTGATTCTTGTGACTCTACCTGTTGTAACGAACAGTGGCCACCTTGTTAAGGAAATTAGCCAGAAATGAAGTGAAGTCGCTAAGCGATGCGGCAGTGCGGACGAACCGAAAGAAAATGCTCAAAATCCGAGAAATGGGTCGTCATTATGACCACTAATTTTGGACGGTGGACGAATTTCTACAACAGCAGGTTGCATCTGCACTGAGATTTGTCATAAAAGAATGGCGTTTATAACTAACCAGTTCTCGGCTGCAAGGACTAGAGTGCAGATAAGTGGAGAACAGCGGCTGATTCATCCTTTTGAAGGCGGAGGAACTCATTGGAACCGTTGATCCGTAGACCTAGTTATGTAGCTCTGGCACGTCTTTCGCTCTGAATATGGCACATGCTGAATGCCAGCATAACTCAGCTTTCTATTCACTATTTACATACATACATATTTTTCCACGGAAGCACGAGCATGACTCTTGAGACTCCCCTCATGCAATCCTCTATTCTAAGTCTTATGATCTACTTTGCGCTTCCTGCGTATCCTTGAAAGTTACATTCCATGGTAATGAGATGTAGATAGTAGAAGTCGAGTACGATTCTCTGAGTGCTAACCATCGTCACTGGAGGAAAAGTGTGAAAAAAAAGCAAAGAGACTCAACTAACACCCTGAATGAGACATTTCCTTTTGAATGAATACGCAAACACCGACAGCTTGGACAAAATACCAGACGACGAAGGGAGTCTCATGGACATGCGAAGAAGGTACCCTCCATTAGACACCTGCAGAAGACGTCCTTCAGGAGTCACGTCTACTTGAGGCCGAGTAGGCGTGAGCACTGAGCGCCACTGACTCGAACT